CCGGACTAAAATTACACCCACCGTTCATATAACGGTAACTCTCCGAAAAGCTGAAACTTCGATATTTCTAAATGAAAGGACTTTAATTTACTAAAAATTGATACCTACAAAAATCCGTTGAAAATAAATAACATCATTATAGAATTTTGGAAAATGGGCGTGGTACCGCCCACTATATATCACTAAGTCTTATTGAACAGAACTATATTTAACACGTGATTTGTACTTAATGTTCGGCTTCGCCCCAACTTACTTACTTTCTTGTTTAATTTAAAAGAGTTATATTTAGCATAAAGATATCTCTTTATACTAGTTTAGTACTTATTGAAATATAACGATTCCATTTGGTAGTTATTAACCGGTTTTAAAATTCTGCAACCAATGTTATGAAAAGATTCGTTCAATTATTTTTGAGTTTGAAAGAATCGATTAATAATAGGAGTGGCGAATATCCAACATTTAATGATTTAATGTGAATAAACCACAAGACTGTTTGTTTAGTAAATTGTTAACTTGATAACTGGTTTTTAACACCCGGGTTTTCGAAATTGGTAGCCAGTAGAAAATGCCGATTTCATTTTTGAAATCACCGTTAAGTAGTTCTTGTAAGCGGGGTAATTTCAACAATTACGACCACTTCTTACATATTTCAACATTTGTCCATTTGTGCGTCAGTGCTATTTAGTAGCAGTGACGCACTAGTTCCAAATAGTTTTTAATTAATCACAAATATTTGCTGTCAAATTGGGAGATACAACATTTTCTTATTTTGGTTAAAATAGTTTTCTGAACAGCAACAGCAAAGTACTTTTTCAAGCATTTTTTTTTTCTTGTGATTTTTCTTGAGAACTGCACACAGCCTTAAGCTTTAAACAGGAAAAGCTTCGATAATCACGAAACCTTAACTGAAATGGAAAATTTCGCATATGTGTGTATAAATGCTTTACAGTTTTAAATGTTCCAGCTTACCTTGTTTCACAGAATCTCCTCAATACAATTCATCACATCAATCCTGTTGACGCTGATTTTTATTTTTTTTTGCATTTTCTACTGTGTCTTCCAAACATCAACTGGGTGATCTCTTCATTTTTTCGACTTACGTATGTATTTTCTTTTAACGGATTCTGGTTTTATTTCCGTATATTTGTTTTGTTTTCAAAATTTTCGCTTAAAAAGAAATGCGTAGCTTCAATTAATACATTAGTTGCAGTATCGCAGGAAGGGTGTGAAGGTCCATCGGTTTTATAAATGCTCTTCCCTTAGACTGTCCTCTTAATAAAGAATATATATTCTAAAAAACAATTTCCATTTCATGATTAAAGGTGCTGGCGCAATGCAGGCTTGCTTTGCTTGCTTCGCTGCGAGAAGTGTCAAAAATTATTTGGAATATACTAAAACGTATAAAGGCTGGCCAAATGGCAGCTTTTCTTCACTTGCTTTAAGCGCCTCAAAGTTTGAAATAAGCAAATGTTTTATTTGAAAGCGTTTTGTAGGATTTTGACAAGGAGGTATGTTCCTTTCAAAATACATAAATTCAAACAAAAATTTGCTTACTTAATTTAAAAAAGTCACATAAAATGCAGGTAATTCGAAATTAAATAAAAATTATTAATTGTTTCTATATTTATATTTAACATATCTGTTATCTTANATACTTATGATCACATATATGTATGTATGTATATCGGTAACCGTTCTACCAATTTGTACCAAACTCGGTATGGTTATTGTGCTTGCCACATAAAAGCAAAACGTTGAAAATTATTGAAAGGGGACTAAAATTGAGGCCGCTTTTCATATAACGGTAAATTTCAGAACTGCTTGAAACTTCAAAATTTCGAAACATTGATTGAAAAACATACTTAATACGTGCGCCGGGTATTTAATGTTCGGTTCCGCCTGAACTTAGACTTTCTTACTTGTTTCTATCTAGATCCCTACCTCTACCCCTGTTCGTTTTAGTTATTCTGTTTTGCTTTATCTTCATTTTTATATTCTTTCGATAACAAAATCTATAGTTAAATTCAATAAAATATCGATAACAAAGCCGATGAAAAATTCGATAAAAATATCCATAACAAAATCGATCAAAATGTCGATAACAAAATCGATTAAAATATTGATAACGAAATCCATAAATATTGATAAAAAATCGATAGCAAAATCGTTAAATACCGATGACGAAATCGATAAATATCGATAACTAAATTGATAAATATCTATAAAAAAATTGATAAATATCGATAACAAAATCGATGAATATCGATAACAAAATCTGCAAAAATATTTATAACAAAAACCAATAAATATCGATAACAAAATCGATAACTATCGAAAACAGAATCGATAGATATCGCTAACAAAATAGCTAAAAACATCGATTACAAAATCGATAACGAACTGAAAAAAATATCGATAAGAAATTCGATAAAAATATCGATTATTATCGATAAGTTCCGAAAATATCGATAGCAAAATTGATAACAATATCAACAAAAATTTCAATAAAAAATCGATAACAAATATCGATAACTAAACCGATAAAAATATCGATTATTTTATCGATAAGTCTCGAGAATCCCGAAAATCTCTAAAATCCCAAAACAATTCCCAGATTGAGTCCCTGTGTCTCTTTATATCCTTTCCTCTTTAATTACCTTTATTTTAATCTTTCTTCCCCTATCTTCATCTTTACTTTCGTCGGTATCCCCATCCTCCTCTTTGTCTTTACTTTTGTGTTTATAATTTTCTTCATCTACATATTCCTCTTCACCTTTGCCCTTATATATAAAAAAAAGTGTTTAAATTTACCTTGGTCTTCATTTTTGTCTTTATCTTTACGGATCTTTGTTTTTGTTTTTATTTTTACCTTTGCCTTTATTCTTTTCTTTATCTATGTACATAGTCACCTTTACTTTCATTCTTGTATTGGTCTTTTTCTCTGTGTGTATTCTTTAACCTTTTATAAGCAAATTTTTGTTAAATTAATACCATATGCATACACACAAGAAGCACTTTTATCAGCCCGAACCGTATCCGTTGCACCATTTCCGCTGCCGTTAAATTAATTCCATATGCATACACACAAGAAGCACTTGTATCAGCCCGAACCGTATCCGTTGCACCATTTCCGTTGCATCATTTCCGTTGCACCATTTCCGTGTGCAATTTCCGTTTAATTTGCCAATTTACTCCCACTCACTTCAATAATGAAAAATATTCCTTGTGGTTTTTCTTGAGAGCTGTATTCTAAGATTTAGTGCAAATCCTCAGCAAATTAAAATTTTTTGAACTCAGCAAATTTTCTTCATTTAGAGTCAGCAACAAGCAACTCTATACACTTCTATAAATTTAAAATTTTAGACAAATTGCGCATTCTATTTTCGAAGTAGGGTTTGTCTTCATAAGGATCATGGATGCACTCTAGTCATATTATTGCGTGTTTCGCCGGATAAAAAATGCTTTGTTTTTGAAGTTATGTACCTCAATAAATTTAACTGTTGTCGAAGTTGTATTCCTCTTCAAAACGATTATGAGTACTCTTTATCCATGACATTCTAGACTTTAATAGATAAAACAGGACTGCGATGATTTCTACTTTAAAAAATTAATGAGAAATTTCAGTAGGTATTAGATACTAAACTACGAAAAAGGCAATAAAAGTTTCCTTCACGTGAAAATATTATAGTGTTTTCGTTTCTACCAAAAAATGTTACCTTCTTATTGCCCTCTAAGCACAAACACTAAGAACAGGGCAATGAAAAGGCAAAATTTTTTGTAGAAACGAAAACGCTTTAGTTTTTGATTTTCCTTACTGTTACCGTATATTTATTACTAGGTTTACCTTCAAATTTCCATACGGGTATTTTTAACTAAAATTTTTATTTTTTTGAGTAAAAAATTAATTTTTTATTCCATAATTAATTTTTGTTTCATTGAAATATAATTAAAAAAGTTCTAATATATGTTTGACATCACGTCTCTCATTAAACACACTGCGTTTGTTCCCCTTTAAAAAAACTAGTAAGCCATATTAGATACTAAGCTACAAAAAAATAATAAAATTAAAAAAAAAATATTAAATGCTATAAAAAAAATTATTCCAAAAGTGAAGAGAATAATAATTTCAGTTTCTAGAAAAATGTTGGGTATGCAGTTTTATTTATTAATAAATTTTAATATAATAAAGTGCAATATCCAAGTAGCTAAGAGGAAGCTTTGATTTTTATTAATTTTTTCGCTAACATTTCGCGCTCAAAGCGCTCAAAATTTTCCATGTATTTTTATATGGGAAAAAACAACTTTTCGCAGGAATGGTATAGAATTCTTGAAAATCAATATATTTCAATCGGAAAACTCTGGTTCTCTTCAGGAGACTTTCAATAATACTATTAACAATTTTTTATTGGTCTCCTCATCGCATTGTTTGGGGTTTTTGGCGGACCTGTAAGTTATAGTTTCGATGGAAAAACGGTTAAATAAACAATTGGTTATTATTATTGGGAATCTCCTGCAGATATAAGGGGTTTTCCGATAAAAAATAATGATTTTTAAGAACTCTATCCATTTCTCCGAAAAGTTCTTTTTTCCACATATAAAATACATGCAAAACTTTGGGCTCTTTGAGCAACGTCTTAATATTTTTTGATTTCAAAAAAAAAAAAAATGAGGAAATATTTTTTCGGTATGGAACAATCCTATGGGGTGAGAGCATAAAAATTCCAACTTTACTTTATCACATGCATAATACAGTAACCGATTATCTCAAAAACTCTTATGCAATGATAATCAAAAAATAGTGTTTTATTGACGAAGGGGGACGAGGAACTATCCCGCATCCCCTTTGGCTACGCCACTGCTTAATTGTGTGCGAACTCTCGAATCGGATGTTTCTTTGATTACGGTTAACCACACACATTTATTCAGAATTCTGTAGCTATTTTCTTTCAAATTTTGTATGCATTATGTTTTCATGAAAACATTAATTTCCTTCTCTGCAGTGGTCGCTGCCAATCAACAAATGCGCTCCACCACCAACCTACTCATCATCAATCTAGCCGTCTCCGACATACTCTTCGTTGTATTCTGTGTGCCATTCACCGCCGCCGATTATGTGCTGCCCACGTGGCCTTTTGGGGATTTGTGGTGTAAATTCGTACAGTATATGATTGTTGTCACCTGTCATTGCAGCGTCTATACTCTGGTGCTGATGTCATTCGATCGGTTTTTGGCAGTTGTGCATCCGGTCACGAGTATGTCATTGCGTACCGAACGTAATGCGATGCTGTAAGTAAGCGTATGAGTGCCCCCTTTTATAATTAGAGCCCCACAAATTCAATTCAGCCTGAGTCCATTAAAATATAAATATTTAAATTTGCATATCCTTTTCCGCAGAGCTATTCTCTGTGCCTGGGTGCTCATTATCACTACAGCCATTCCAGTGGCTTTGGCTCATTCTGTACGCCTCTACTATTTCAAAGGACGTAATTACACAGCTTGCGTTTTCTCCACCGAAGAGGGAGCTTGGAGTTTAATCGGATTTCAGGTAATTCCTTCCTCATTAAATGCTTTGTTTAAGATGATTTGGCAAATTAAGTGGATACATATTTACTTTGCATGCAAATTCAATCAACGCCTTCTTGGGAAAGGCATCAAACCAAAACCAAAGAGACTGTCTTTTATTTCTAAACTATAATTCATGGAAATGCCAAATTTGCGCATACTGAAGATTTCGCCCATTATACAAATATTTAAAGGTAGTTTTACTTTCCTCTTGTTCGCCATTTGACGTAAGCTGTGATTTTGACATTTCTTTTAAATTGAAGCTACCATATTCTTGAGGAAATTAAAAACTGGTTTTTACTTAAAAAAAATGTAAACTATTTGAAAAAATATATCTCGAGCATAACTAATTTTATAGCGAGCTTTACAAGCCTTAATGCCAATGTTTACACATCAAATTTCATAAGGACCTGGTACTAATGCCTTTACTTTCGGCGCCGTGTAGAAACAACTAAATCGGTTTTTCTAAACCTCTTTATTTGATTTCAAATTTTTATATATAAATGATTACCGCTGTAAATGTATTGAAGAAGTCTTTATTCTCCCTATCATGTCAAATTAAAAAAGTTGAAAATTTTTCCAGAGGAAAGCAACCTATAATCCATTGTCAGAAGCTTTAAAATACCCAAGTAAAGTTAACGATATATTATAACTGTCCTATATATGTATATAAGCTTTCTTAATACCTTTACTTCGGTGTATTATTTAAATAAATCGGGAAATCGCTTGGAAAAAATTTAACTTGTTCTCAGCAAATGCATCATGATTCGTCCGGTCTAGTATATGCACATTAGGGTGGTCCAAAATACATAGGAAAATCTACTTTTTTGCAAGCTTTAATTGTATTTGGTAATATATTAAAATTAAAAATCTATAAACTCATTGTACAAGTGTTGACTAAATTCCTGATGCAAATGGCACGTAAGCAAATGGACAATGGACAAGTAAGTCGATTAGTTTCTACCATGTTAGCGGGAGTAGACTAACTATACCCGGCAGTAATTCGAGCTCCGATAAGCTGAGACGGTGTAATCACTCTCAGGCGTCCACGGTAGAAAAATAAAGCCAAAACTTAAGCGTTGATAAAATTACAAATTTCGAAATGCAGTAGGAAAACATACATTTGTATTCACGGGAAAATGCAAGCTCCACCATAAACTCCTGGATCTAGGCAAAGGAATTCAAAAATTAATTAGAAGAAAATCCTTTTTCTGAAAGTTTGTTTTACCTTACTAATTTTACCTTAAGGAGAGAAGAAAATAAAACTTTTCAGAAAAGTTTTTATGGTCAATTCAAATATTTCAGATATTTGCAGATTTTAACAGTTTGTAAAGTATTTTTAGTTCATCGTCTAGTTCAGGTGTTCCCAAACTTTTTTCACCTCGGCACCCTTGTTGTGCTAAAAAATTTCGTGACACCCCTACTCTTCAAATGTCTACGACTACGAAAACAAGAAAACACAATGCTCCTTTAGCTTTTATGTGAGGACTGAAACTGTTTTCATGATTTCATAATTTCCTTTAAGTTTATTGGGATCTTTGACAATTTTACCTTGAATTCATTTGACGCTGAAAGCTTGCTGCTGTATTTGTTTTCAACCGACTTCACAAAAAGGAGAAGGTTATCAATTCGTCGGAATATTTTTTTATTTTATTTTTTTCTATGTATGTTACCGCATAACTTTGGACCGTGTTAACCGATTACTATAATTCTTTTTTAAAGGAAAGGTGTTATCTGACAGGTGGTCTAACTTGGTTTAAATCCGATCATTCGATCATGAATAGATTAACGACAATCTTGGGAATTGAAATCAGTTTTGTTTTTTTTTTGCTTAAAAATGACTTGTTTATGTAAGCATTTGTTGAAAGTTGCAGTCTCAATATAGAAATGTAAAAGTAAGGCCCCTATTATGAGTTGAATTCGACGGTGGTCGAAAGTGCTGATTGAACGAATTTTCATTTGGTATTATGACGCTCATTCGATGAAGAATAGCACTATTGTGAATTTCGCTCGGTTAGGTTGTTTACAATAGTATATTTTTCACCGCTGGGAGGTTTTGTTTACAAATCGAGAAAACTAAATAGTGTGATTATAAAAATGTATGTATGTAAATTTGTGAAAATAAAATGAAATAAAAAAGAAAGCTAGTTTATAAAACGTGGTAAAAATGAGTACAACGGAGTTCTGGTTCAACGTTTCGTCAGAGGATGAGAGCTTGATAAACTGGCCAGGAGTAGAAAATGTTTAAATGGGTTTAAGTGTAGTCTTTCGAATATATTTTGACATAAAATATATACAAGAAGTTTGTCTACAGATTTATTAAAAACTTCCGCCTGTCTAAAGAGGCGTTTGTGAGCCCAATCTATTTAAAATATTTTAAAACTATCAACAGCTTACGATTTTGTTCTCAGATATCGTGCCAACTGAGTATTGGGATTTTCTTTCAAAAGTAAAACCAGCCTTTCGAGCTTGTGTTTAATATTCATGACGTTAGAACTGCATGAAATTAATACAAAATTGTTTAAAATTAGTGTCTAGCCGCCATAAAGTACAAAGACAAATGCAAAAACCTACATTTTTCACAATTTTCTAGCACTTCGCTACACTCAGAAAAAAATCAGCGAAATATATTTCTCTCAACGCATGCTTTGGTAAGTATAACCAAATAATGTAACTATAACCAAATAATGCGTTGAGAGAATAATATTTAGTTGACGTAACTAAACTCTTTTCGCAATGTACACCATCGGAAGCAAAATTCTGTTCGGCAGAAAATTCGATACTCAACGATAACCAGCGAAGATCGAAAATCGAATGCAACTCATAATAAGGGCCTAAAAGTCACTAGTATTTTTAATGTAATCTTGCCAAGAGCAGTGTTTTCTGCATACACTTCCATCCAGACCTCTCTTGGCTCCCTTCGTAGTATGTAATAATCAAAGTGCTGTCTTCACTGATGTCCAGAAGGTTTTCAAAAGCTTAATTGGTCATCTCAGTAGGTTTACTTTTCGGGCCACATGAACACGGGTTTGTTATCCAGCTGAAGCCATCCTCAGAGTCAATGTTGGGAAAATATTCGACAATGGTTTTTTCTAAACCTTCCAAGTTAACGCTGGTAATGCGCGTTAATGCTAAGAAAATCATTATTACAGCCAATTGCACGAAAGCAGTGTAAGTGATAAATGATTTTAATTTTTTGAAATGTATATGGAAATTGCTAGTGAAACCAGTTGTTATCAATTTTCTTAGCGTTAACTTCGAAGTTACATACCTTTTTCTGATTACTTTGTTTGCTTATGGGGTTTTCATGCAAATTGCTATAAATTCTAAAATATACATATCACCAATAAAATAATCTCGACGTGCTAGAAAAAACCAGAGATGTATTTTAATTTCGCAGGCCTTTGTTATCTTCACAGCGTCATTCAATACGGGTTTTAAATCTAGTGGCGGCATCTTCTTAGTTGCCAGGAAATACCGAGGGATCATACAGTGAATTCTCGTGGCGTTTTCTGCCTCTTGCTTCATCCTAGACATCGCCCCTTTCGTTCGCAGACTTTCAAACCATTGTTCTTTCTCGATAGCTTTAAAAATTTCGTCGCTAGTGACGTAAGTCTCAAGTACTTCGTTCTTCTTCGATTTGCATTGCGAATGGGTACCTCACTAATACGAGGCCTCTGAAATCGTGTTGATTCGCTCTTTGACAGTGTGATTGTGAAGTTCCAAAAGTACCGAAAGTGGTTGTGAAATAGGGTAGGTTTTCGGCTATTTTTCTGAAAATTTTCTGATTCAATTTTACGTTGACAAAACGTACTGCGGAACTACGCCTAAGAGCGAAATATCCCTTTGCTGCAAGCTATTTGTGTTGTATATGAGGTTTGACGAGCCGCTGAAGCTAATTAATAAAAATCAATTGGGGGGTGGCTGGAGGAAAAAATTTTGAGCCACCCTAATGCAAATATTTATGTAAATGGTTATGTCGTATAACTAACTATTCATAACTTTATGCTTTATCCAACTTTGTTCCAAGATATCTTTCTTTATATCGTCGTACGTTGCACCACTGACTTTGATTTGCTTCCTCTATATGGGTATGTTGGCGCGTCTGTGGAGAAGCGCACCTGGATGTAAGCCATCCGAGGAGTCTAGGTAAGCAATTTTTATAGCATACTTGACATTTTTGTGCGCACACATTTATACATTTAAAAGGGTAAAAGAGCCCTAATTGCAAAAGAGTACGTACATATGTACAATTTTTATGATATTTCTTGGATTTAATATATGCTTGGTGTTATATAACGAGCTATACTTTTATAAAAATATAGTGAACATTAAACCAACAAATGAAAAATAATCAAATCGTAGAGCTCACTGTTTAACATATTTTAAAAAACTTATTATACTCATTTATTCCCTAATATTATCGAGATAATTGTGAAAGTAGAGAAAAGTAGACATTTGAACCTTCCTTTATTTTCGTGTATGCATTTAATTTGCGAACATCTGGTATTCACCATTACAACCATTTTGATTTGTTTGCTTGTTTACTATGTTGAACAAAAGTAGTGAACTTATTAAACGCGTTTTAGTATATTGTTAAAAAGTAAACGTTGTTACGACGTCGTTTGGCAAATTGGGAGGAGTCATGTCGGTGCAACTAACACATATTTCATTTCACAAACAAAAATAAAATAGCAGAATATTCGAGGAATGACGTTGAATGTTCGACAGTGAGAAAGAAATCCGTCAACTAAACAAGGATAATCGTAACAACTGGTGTCAGAAGTGGAATTGTTAAATAAATCCCATAAGAGAAACTCCAAAAAATGGCAAAAATTGAAGAACTGAAAATCGGGGAACTCAAACAGCAGTTGGTAAAGCGAAATTTATCAACCTCCGGGAGAGAAGTGGAGTTACTATCACGGCTGCGAGAGGCCATGAAGAAGGAAGGCATCGGCGTTGACAAATACGACTTCGATCGTGAGACTACGAGGCATCCCGGAAGGATGAACAGAAGCATGAATCTACTACGAAGATTGAAGAATAGGGACGGGCTCCCATTATGGACATGAACACGTTACTGAAAGATGTCATCGCAGATTTCATACCAGCTGGAAGCGGAGAGGTCGCAGTTGTCGTCAGATGTCTCATCGCAGTTACAAGAGCTGGAGACACGTATATCATCAGCGTTATCAGCGCAGATATCATCCCAACTAGAAGCACAGGATGCAAAGATTGCACAAATACATGAAAAAAATCTAAGACAGAGAGGACAAAGTCGAGACTAAGATGGGCCAGTTGGAAGGTCGTCTCCGAGACTTGAAGTTGAATCATCCAGCCGCTTCGAAGAACGCTCCGAAGGATAAAAACTCTATCCTTTGAAGGCACGGTTCTTTTCCAAGTCTTTAAGCTCCAGTTCGAAACGCGGCTACAGCAAACATCTGGAGCATGACTGAAGTTGAATCATCCAGCCGCTTCGACGAACGCTCCGAAGGATAAAAACTCTATCCTTTGAAGGCACGGTTCTTTTCCAAGTCTTTAAGCTCCAGTTCGAAACGCGGCTACAGCAAACATCTGGAGCATGACTGAAGTTGAATCATCCAGCCGCTTCGACGAACGCTCCGAAGGATAAAAACTCTATCCTTTGAAGGCACGGTTCTTTTCCAAGTCTTTAAGCTCCAGTTCGAAACACGGCTACAGCAAACATCTGGAGCATGGAGGATAAATCCGCTGCGCTGTTTGTTGCGTTGAAAGGTCTGGCAGCGGAAATCTTGCAGACTATTCCTGACTGTGAAAGGAACAACTACGATGCATTGATGGGTGCTGTGGTAAGGCGTTATGGTACCGATCACAGGAAGTAAATTTACCGGATGGACCTGAAGAATCTCCACCAAAAATCCAACGAGTTTCTACAGTAATACGCCTCTGAGATCGAGAAGTTGGCTGATTTGGCAATTAGAGACGCATCTGGTGAGCACCTCGAAATGGTAAAAATGCAGAGGTTCATCTCAGCGGAATGCGGGACATGTACACCAAGTGAAAGACGTAAGCGAATCCAAGGACAACATTTGCTGAAACTCTCTGGTATGCTCAGATGAAACGGTGGTGCTCCTAAGTACACGAGCCTACAAAGCCCATCGAGTAAAAGTGTAGACAACTGACGTGATGAACGTGATCCTGAAAACACTCAAGTTGATGGCAGGGAAAATACTCCTGGTGAAACCGAGAGAAAGGATGTTGCTGGAAAATGTCTTTAGTTGCGGAAAACCAGGCCACTTCTTACGCGAATGTTAGATGGGTTCCAACTGGTGTAACAGTTCAGCAGTAAGTTTACGCAGGGCTGAAGAAGACGAGCCCAACTCCGATCAGTCGTTAATTTAAAAGGAGCCAGCAGACAATTGAATGCCCCAAAATCTCCGTCTCGCGAATTGTCAGAAAAGCGAGCAATGGGCCTTATGCATAAAAAGTAAGCTTAAGCTCAGGCTCAATTTTTAGACTGGCGAAGTGATCTCTAGCTCAAGAATTTGTACTAAAAATCGAGTCGGAGCTTAAGCTAACTTTTTATGCATATGGTCCAATGTTACTGTTGGTGGATATGTGGACGGACATGAGCAATTGCTGACAGTGGATACTGAAGCGTCACATTCCATTATTCGACCTGATTGGCCATTTTTTATGTGAAGCCACTACCGAGAGCAAAGCTGTAGACGGCAACTGGTGAGCGCACGCAAGTGATGGGAGAAGTACCACGCGAGGTAATAATCGGGGGCGTGGCCTCGTACACCAACTTTATAGTGGCAGACATTGTGATGAATTCATCATTAGCATGGACTTATTACTTAGCCAAGGCATGAAAATTTACCTCCAGGGAATGATCCTGACATATCGCGACAGGAAAGTGCTTTTTAGGGTTGGCTACGCCAACCAGTACTGCAGAAGACGGTTAGAGGAAGTGCTGAAGACCCCACCAGAAACGGAAGTGGTTAGTTGGGCAGAGGTTGGCAGTGATGGCGATGGAGAAGAGGCCCAGCCATTAAGGAAAAAGTGAAGGTTCCACCAACTCTGTAAGAAGGAGGAAGTTACCACAAGGAAGTGGTCATGGCAAGCCAGGCAGTATTTCCAGCAGGAATAGAGCCACTGAACTACGCTTCAATGCTGATACGCCGGTTGCCGGAAATGGCGGAGGCTGTGAAGGCAGTAGGCGCGCTTCAATGTATCCAGGAAAAGGTCGTGCTTTGCAAAGGAAGCAAAGGCAAGCAGTAAAGCCGGAGGCCAAAGTTGAGGATATACGTGACCTGTCAATGAAGTTGATGTCGGCGAAAGACCGAGATGCGGATACAATAGGCAAGCTTCAGCGTAAGGATCCGAATTTAGCAAGATACGCAGAGCAGTTCGAGGATCGAAGCCTGGTAGTCATGGACGGAGGAACCGGAATAAATCCGGAGAAAGAGGTGCCCATGAGAAGAAACATGGTCTGATCACCACCCGTGGCCGGCAGAAGTACGGTCATGTGAGATGGCGCAGAAGAAATGCCTAAAAACGCATCGAGCCGAGGGGCGTTTCCAGGAAGGTGATTTTGCGTTCATGTACAAGCCGCGTCGTATGAAGGGCTTCACCTCCAAACAACGACGTAACTGCAAAGGTCCGGATAAGATTGAATGACTCACAAACGGCTGATTGAGACCAAAAACCAAGATGAAGGTAACCCACTTGAAAAGGATTGCAGCATTTGGAACAGTAAGTGTGTCTGATTGGGACGATCAGACTTAGGAGAAGGGCAGTGTGGCGAATACTGCGGTAACGCGAAACGAACAACAAGAAAATAGCAGAATGTTCGAGGAATGACGTAGAAGGTTCGAGAGTGAGCAGCGTCAAGCGGATGAATACTGCGAACAGCGACAGAATGAGAGGATGAGCGATAACCTTCAGAACGCAGGTATGTAAGGGTCTGATTATGCATACTTCGCATAACTTCGCACAACCATTT